CTGTAGCAGTTCTGTCCGATCAAACTTTGAAAGAAAGCTTTTTCTCAAAGGAAATATCTATGACGTACGCGCACTTTCCTATAGCTCTTGAACGGAGCTTTCTAGCTTCAAGCTTTCGGGCTTGCTCTTCTTACAGGCTTCACAACAGATCTAGGACTTTACGTTGTAGGCGGAGACGCAGATGGGGGGGGGAACAAAGCGGCGGCAAACGGTATTTATAGTGAACAAGCTTCTCAATGCGGATACAATATCATTTTCACTAATAAGGAAATGCTACAATGTTTTCCTATTTGATCTTTCTACCATTCCTGTATCATAAAATACTCCTCTTCACTGGAGTGGAGCCAAGAATTTATCGAATTCTCGACGTGAACTGCTTCTTGGACAATGAGGAGAAGGGCTTCCGCCTAGCTTTGCTTTGTCAATTCTCGGTGTGTTTACCACCAAATAATGGAAAGAGGTTTATCGACGAAACTCCCGCTACGTCAGGCCAGATAGCGACTCAATCTCTAACTTCGCTTCGGTAGTGACCTTTTTTCCCTCTTTTCTCCTTGTTTTTGTGACTTATGAGGGGGTATTTTATCTTGAGGGAGGTATTTGATTGAGTGATTGTCAGTGGAAGTCGGATGTTCTGCTCCCGGTGCCTGGCTTAACTGCGATGGTATCGAGGGAGAGTCTTCCAAGTCCGGGCCAAGCCTCATCTTCCACTTTATCCAACACGCCCTTTTTCTCTTTTCAGTTTATGAGTGATAGTCATTTCATTCATTCTTCTTTTCCTGGCTTGCTTCTTTTAGTTCAGTATGGAATGTGTCCTTTCTTTGTACGAGTATTCATACCTCCCCAAGTAACGGTAAGCTCCTAACATTAATCACAGAAATGCTTGGTTGGAGTCATAGTGTTCATCTCTTGGCATTTCCCTCACTGCACACGTTCTATATCCCTAGACTTTCGCATCCATTTCTGTCCCAATATTGAATATAGTTCGGATCTTCCGGCATCTGCTGTGACTCTTTCTCAAATCTTTCTTCAATCTAAGAGAATGTTTGTGTTAACCTTGTAAGATAAGAGTCGGAAAGCCAATAGCTCGTATTTCACTCATTTTGCTGCTATATGATCATGAAGTTTCTCCATTTGATGCTCGTCTAAGTGCTAAAACAAGGTGGACTGATTTGACATCTATATGCGACAGAAGTTTTTCCATTTGATGAGAAAGGAGTTCCAAACTCCGACAAGTCTTCAAGGACGGGCAGGGAAAGAGGAGATTTTGCTAGGTAAGCTTCGTGAGTTAGCTGTGGTCTCACGAGCTACGAGAACTAGGTCGCACATAAGATCGTATAGAGGTCAGCATGCCCAAGAGGAAAGAATCTTTCAACCAAAGCAGCAAGCAATGCTACGACCACAAAGCCTTAGTAGAGCTATGTCCACGTCAAAGGCTCAGGAGTCTATTACACTAGGAGATCCAATTGAAAAAGTTTAGTTGCATATAGATGGAAAAGCTGTAAACCCATTTGGGGCAAGCTTGCATCATTTCATGGATTGATTCAGAATTCCTTCTATATAAGGAAATACTAACAGTAATCGCGAGAGTAGGCTGTCTACTAGGCTTGGCTGACTCCCCTGGTTCAACAGATGGAATAGTGATGAACCTGCACGCTGTTCTAGCTTCTAACCGGTCAGGATTTCTAATGGGAAACTGGCTCTTTCGAGCGGAATAGGATTTCCTTCTTATATAAGCTATTCTGAAAGAGGAGATTTTCAAAGAGCTGTCTTCGTCAAGTTCAAGAAGAGAATAACTGCCGTCAATAGAAAGGGGCACTTTCCTTTATTATTGATACGCTTGTGCTTGTGCCTTAATTTCATTCTGATTTACATTCTTACACGGAAACTAGCCGCCTCTGTTGGTGCAAGCTCTTTCAAGCAGCAAGGATTGATGCCTCGATATCTTATCTTTCGGACTTGAACTGGTACGTCCCCAAAAGATGAAAGCTTGAATTACGTCTCCAAATCAAATTCGAAATCGACCGATAGGTTGAGTCACTTCCTTCCACGAAAGAAAAGAATTGAGGACTCTCCTGTAAAGTTTGATAAGGTTAAGGACCTCAAGCACTAGGGCCTTGAAAGGCATCTGTTAACGCGCACATGTCTGCCACGACATCAGTGTAATTCGTGTGAGTCTCTTATTTTTCCTACTAATGCAATGGATCTCGAAGAACGCGACATGGAAAACATTACAGAGGACTCAACAATAGCACAAGCCTATCAATATGGATTTGTATTCCGTAGATAGGAGTCAACTATACAGACGACATTTTTGTAATCAGGATGTGACCATAGGAGGTAGGCCCCAAGGAAATAAGCAAAAGCTTCTGGGGTCGTGTGCTGGCAAAAGGAAATGGAGTTGTATGCGCGGAACGGGAGAGACGAAGGTCTAGGAAACTACGCTGCCGGAGCGAATCCGGAAATCAAATCTTTCCCCAGTTCGGATTGCAGGCTGCAACTCTTTGCTTTTAGCTCTCTCTCCTCTCCCCGTTCATCAATACTGTTGCCCCGTCCCGTCGAATCAGTTATATTTTATTATTATAAGCGCGCTAGCCGATTCACTAGAGTTGGAACTTTCTGTAAGTTTCGGTTTTATATATCCGTTTTTTCAAGAAAGCCCTGACCACCAGGATCGGAAGTCAGGGATTGAGCTTGACTTTTGGAAGTGGCAACTCCCTTCCTCAATAAGGATTGGAATATTGGATTTTGGTTAGGGATATTTACCAGCCGTACTAAAAGGAAAGAATTGCGTCAAGTAAGGGGCGCTTGTTTATAATCAACTACCGCTTGAAGGTTCACAGTGCTTCGGCTGACAGCAGAGAGGGTTAAGCAAAGGAAAGGAGCTAGCAAACGAGATAGGGCGAAAACTGGCTTGCTAGATTTTCCATATATAGCCGACTAAACTCCGAACCCATAGTGTCTGGTTTTTCTGTTCTGTCAGCGGAAGGAAGAAGGCAAAGGCGGCGAAGCTGAAACGGAGGAAGCTGAAGTTGGAGCCGTAGGCTAAGAAACTGCAGAATCCGTCTCTCGCTTTGTTGCTGTTCATTGTTCAGTGAAATGTGAAGAAAACGGGATAACAGCTATATGCTTAACACATGCAAGTCGAACCAATTCTCTAGATCGAAGTCCTCAAAGCATCCCCCTGGCTGGCTTCTTTTTTTCGTTGCCCTATCCGTACGTAAGCTCCGAACTTGAATCAATGCTTGGCTCCCCTGGCTCTTCCCTCGTCTAGCCGGTCCCCATGGGCTTTTTCTATGCCCTACTTTGTTTGCTCCTTCTCTCCGACCCTAAACCGAAGGCTAAATCATTTAGAAATCGAACATTCAGAAACATGGGATAGGATTTGAGATCGATTCTATGGACTACGAAAGGAGTGAGAAACGTAGATTTCAGCTTGACGACCGGGTCTATTTTTTGACGACCGGGTCTATTTTCTGAAAACTTCTAAAACCCCGTATTTTAGGCCTAACCCCCTTTTCCACTCCTAAGTCGGTGCGAAAAAGTCAACAAGTTCTAAAAACCCCGTGTTTTGGGCCTCAACCTCAATTTCCCTCTGAGACCTAGTCTCTTTTTTCAAAAGTGTGATCTCATATATACGGAAAATGAGTCAAATTCTCTTACATAATGCAATTCCTAATATCTTCTTTTGTTTGCCCGGTCCGGTTCACCAGGTTTGACCAACTACAGTTCGGAATCCTAGTTTCATCATCTTTTTACTAGGGTTCGCTCCAAGCTTGGAAGTCACTGTAGAAGAGGTTGAGTTGGAACATTTCCATCATCATTTGAAGAAGTTGCGCGAAGGAGAGACTGAAACTACTGGTTGGGCTTGGCAACATAGGCATTAGATACGCGTTTAGAGAAAGAGTTTCGGATCAAAAGAAAGAAAGAGGGGAGGGATAGAGCCCCCCAACCAACTCCGAAAGCGGAAGCAGGGTGAGGAATTTCGAGACAGAACATCAGAAAGCCTTTTTTGGGGCCATGCCCAACCAGTACGCCTGTGAGTATGCCGCCTATAACAAGGGTCGACACCCCAAACTTGACCTATCGGCCTAGGAAAGCTCTTTCTACAAATGCTAAAGCTCTTTGATTCTCTGGAGATGTTGTTGCTATGGCCCTTTTCGAGAGCTTGTTGGCATGTTCTATCCCCTTGTTGATGGATTTACTATCTTTGCCTCAATCGGCAGTTTTGAAGCCTTAGTATAGGCCCAGGATAGAAAGGATTGATTTACATAAGTCAACAGCATCCTCTTCGATCGAATGAACTGTTTGGCTACCTTGTTCCGTCTTCCTAGTTTCGTTTTTGTTTACTTTTCTTGGCGAAAAACAACCGAACTGCCCGCCTTTGCGCTATGGACTGTATGACTTTTCTTTCTATTTCCTTTTTTGCTTGACTTTCAAGCTTGATATGGCTATTAGATAAGCCGGGTAAGTCATCTAGGAGAGGATTTTCCTAACTTCGGCTACCGTTGTACCCCGACTTCCACTCGGAAGTTGGTATGCTAGAAATCTTTGAATTATGGAATTCCATCCAAAGGAAGAAGATGTCAACATGATATCGTCATCTGCGACCAGGAAGCGGTATGGCTACAATCCACAAACAATGCCTTCGAAGCAGTCCAATCATGAAATGGAATATACAGCTTGCCTCGTCTTTCCCATACACTTGGTTCCATGGGCAAGGGGCTACTTTCTTAGTCAAGTACCTTAGTCTATTGGCCACCAAATACAACCTCCTACTCTTTCTATTTCTAAGTATAAAGCGCGTGGATTGATTCTAACTGCTATGCTACGCTTGCAGAGGACACCATAGGAGCAAAATCTTTGCTTCCTTCTTCACCCTTGTTCCGCGGCTGAGTGAGTTCGAGAATGGCTTGGTACGCGCTTAGAGAGACAGACTGGATTTCTTTTGGGCGAAGAACCTGAATCTTGCACAGACAGGACACATGCCATACTGAAACAACTTCCAGACACAAAGGTGAACCCGTGGAAAACCTTGAGAATACTTGTATGCAAGGGATCTCTTGATTCTT